AGCAGAACACCGTTCGTTGAGCAATCAACATATACGGTTCCGGTCTCTTTTCGGAGTCATTCGAAAGACCGAAGCGGAGTGCGGAAAGCCTCCGAAATATACAGTCCACTTAGCACGCTGCTGAGTTGATTCAGCGTGCGGCTCGAACATTACCGTGAGCCCATATTTATTTCTTTGTCTTTTCGCAGCGATCGTAATAATCGGCGCCCGGACCGAAGCAGCAGGCGCCGTCGATAGGCTGCAGGACAGACGGAGGACACGAGGACGGCCCGCCGGACGCTATTAATTCCCGGCTATCCCGGTTCCTACCAGGTCCTCCAGGGAAGACAGATTATTTAAATAAACCAGGTTTCATTTTTTGGTTAATCGCTGATTCTACTAATTCTTTCGAACACCCATTCTCCCGGCCGAACCCCGTTAGGGCCACCTATCCCTAACAATCATAAATAAAATAAATTTCGTCCTACCTGGTTTGTCTGTCACTTCGGTCATTTCTACAGATGCGTGTTTCGTTGTCAACGCATACACATCACGTTTGTCTTTCCACCTTACAGCTAATATTCCATTGTACATTCTGCTTAGATGTTCTCCTGGTTTTAATTTGCATGTTGAAATATCCTTCGGCATATTTTTCATGTTATTAAGCACGGTGCCGATAACATTTGTTTTTTGCTTGTGCAATTTTAGAAATAGAGCAGGTGAGGAGTACCAATTGTCAATATACAACGTATATCCTTTATGTAAAACCGATTCTGCCAATTCCGTCACCACACCTTATAACCGAGTACCCTGCGAGCGAGTATTCGTCGAAGGAGGAGTTCGTGTCTCCTTGGGAGGAGGACTCGTAATTAATAGGGAAATCAGAAATTGATTCTTTGGTATAAATTGAACAACGGATAACAAGATATATTTTAACAAAAACGAGATTATAATAATCAGTTTCACAATAATGACGGTTGCTTTACCGGACTAGGAGCGGGGCTAATTATGGACGAAACATCGAACTTAATCTACGCCAGACTGATGGCCGATTTGACAAAGATATGAGCGATCGATCGGTACTCGCGATTACAATAGTTATCCATGCAATAGGACTCACGGATTGTCGGCGTGCCCGTACGAGATCCCTTTCTCGTGCGCTAGAATTATATACACTGTGGCCACTCACACATCCATACAATCATTGCTTCTCGGAAATATTATTAATATTCGGATTCGAAATTATCTTTACAAATATCGGACTAGAAATAATACTGTCGGTATTTGGACACGAAGTTATTCTTACAGTATTCAGACTAGTTCTCTTTACGATATTCGCGCTCGAAGTTATTTGTATGGTATCCGGACTGGAAGTGATCCGTCGGTTACGGGATCGATCGTCGATCCTTCGGTTACGTAATCCGACGGAATCCGCGCGTGCGTAAGGTCCTCGGGCCTTGTCGAAGGTTCTCCCGTGAGGGCATATGTAACCGGTACAAGCGGGAAATTTGTACGGTTACAATCTTCTGATGCACTACCAATCAGATCAATTTTATCTTCGCCAGTATATATTTTAAACTTGCTGTAGAATCCAGTACTTGCTACACATAGTTTATATATTTTTATGCCAAACCTGGCTCGTTTTGATGGGTTAAATTGTTTATACATTAAGCGGCCTTTATATCGCATTAATGATTTATCAATACTTATATTTTTATCCGGTGTGTAAATATTACTGAATTTGTCGTTCCAATAAGTAATGATTGGTCTTATTTTGTGAAGGCGATCATTGTTGCAATCCGTTAGATTATTTGAGAAATGCAAACATCGTGATATTTGAGTAAGTCTTCTCAGCGTCATTACTTTTGTAAATATAGGTGTATCTATCACTTCCCGCTTAGACCAATGCATCTGTATATTTGGTTTTTTGATTTGCGCCATCAAAATACACAATGCATAATAGGCCAATATTTCATCATTTGTAACTGGGAACCAACCGTCATCCAGTTTCCTTCTTCTCCCACTACTCATTATTTGTTCCGCGTAACGATTTGTTTCCATGACCACAATGTCCCACAAATTTTCGTCGAATATAATAAAAAATAAATGTAACAGTCCGACATTCGTGCCTAATTGGTCTAAAAAATAGTCTTTTACACCACAAGCCTCCGAGTAGTCCCAAATTGTTGGCGTGTTATCACTTTCCTGCCGATTCTACTCAAAACTCACTTCAGGTCTGGGATTTTCCTCTTCATCACTGTCGCGTATAATTAATCTTCTTGCACATTTCACTACTGGCACAATTACACTGCTGTCACTAATATTTTCGTCACTATCTGGAATTCTTCTATGATCTATCGATTGACAGCTTGAAACATTGGAAGCCTTTCCCCGTTTCTTACTTCCACGCAAAGTACTTGCTTTTTTAGAAGTGTTGATTCTTTTCTTGTACATGCTGGATCGGCTTGGTAGAATTAAAAATGTATATGCAGAGATCACTTTGTGTAGCGACCTGTTCGAAACGTGCGCACCTCGTATAAAGAATGGTACAAACTGAAGATCCGGAACAGAAAACTGAAGATCGACTGAGCGGTCTTGGTCTCGCCGCGTGCGCATGTTTATTTAACTTGGAAATGTTGTCTGTACCAAGAAGCAGCATTACGTTCTAGGTAGCACGTGCTCTACACGGGCAAGCACAATCCCATTCGAGATGTTCATACTTGGTCCAAACCTAAGACCACGAGTTAGACTTGTGATATTCATGTTCGGCCTGAAATGTCGAGTACGAGTCAAGCTTGTGATATTCATGTTTGGTCTGGAACTGAACAGCGAGCCCGACTCGTGACATACATGTTTGGCATAAAATTTTCATCACGAGTCAGACTCGTCAAAATAGTGCAAGGGGTTAATCTTCCCTGCCTTTCGTTCCGTCCTTACCATTTTCCTTTTTGATTTTTCCAACTTGTCTTTTGTCCTGTACTCGAAGTTTTTGCTAATGCAGAATTTAGTCTGTTTGAGGAGGGTTGTCGAACGTACCTTTCGTCCCCCTGTGTTTCCATTTCCGCGTTTTATTTCCGTTAATATACTGTTCCTCAGTTTTTACCTTTCTGAATCTTTTTATTTGTTTTATCGAGGGAATATTTCCTGGCCCTTGGTTTTTGTCAAGTGTTTTTTATATTTTTGTCGAGTTCAGTTTTCATTTTCAACCCCTGCTATCTTGTCCCAAGGGTTGATCGCTTTAAAGAACGATATCAGTTTTTTATACAGTATTTCTCTTATTCTGTGGCCTTCAAGGGTGTCCGTGCCAAATATCTGTCTTCTCTTTCCCGTATATCTGTCGCAGTCGACTAATAGATGTTTAATTGTCTTCTTAAGCCGTGAAAGTGTAAATACTCTGAGCTCTGCCTTAAAAGTCGCGTAAGAGATCGAGACCCAGGGTTCCATACCTGTCTTTCTTTGCTCGACAACCGATTTTGCTAGTCGGTCTGCTTCTTCGTTTCCTTCCATTCCTCTGTGATCCGGACACCAGCAGATCACCACGTTCCTGTTGTTTCTTGCCAATGTTGTTAGTCTGTCGAAGCATTCTAGTGTTATTGCCGACTTAAAGCTCGTTTTGTTCAACGCCTTTACCGTCGACTCGCTATCTGTAAAAATAACTATAGATTCGTTATTGACACCGTTCGTTAACATCTCCTCTACGCATCTGGTTACTGCTATTACTTCTGCTTTGTATACTGTGGCAAATTTTCCCAGAAATTCTGTTTTACCATTCCTCAGTTTTCCATTTACCCAAGCACATCCGGTGTTTCCGCTCTCGTTTTTACTGCCGTCCGTGAACCAGGTCTTCCATCCTTTGAACCTGTCTAGCCTCCCGTTTTTCCATTCGTCCCTTTCGGGTATAGCGGTTTTGAACTTTTTCCCGAATCAGAAGGTGAGCGATATTTTATCCGTTGGAGCCTCTATTGTCATATTTAAGTCTTTCTCCGTTTCAGGTACAAATCTTGCCAGAATCGTAGAGTGACCTTTGTTCGAGGGTGACCATTTCTCCCAGTCCTTGAGGAGTTTCGCTGTTCTTATTGCTGCCTCTTCGATTCTTTGCGTTAGCGTAGGTATTGCTAGCATCGCTTCCATCGCTCTTATCGGTGAGTACCTGAACCAAGTATTCTTTTCAGGCCGATATGTTGCAAACTTTCTAATCTTGTTCTAGCCTTTTCATTTTGTATACCTTCCCACCATATCAGCGCGCCGAACGTGAGTCTTGGTATAATTATGGCCTTGAAAATCCAATGACTGGCCGCGGGGGTGAGGCCCCATGTACTCCCTACCATTCTGCTGACCGTTGCCAGGTTGTTACGGGCTCTTTTCAACGTCTTGTCTACTTGTAATCTCCAGGACAGGGTACTGGTAAAGGTAACATCTAGGTATTTAACCGAGCCGGATAGTTTCAATTGAACCCCGTTAAATTTGATTCCTGTAACATTAAATTTTTTCAACTTGCGCGAGACCACCAGTAACTCGCTTTTCGACGGGTTTATTGACAAACTTGTTTCCGCACACCAGTCTTCCACTATCTTCAGCGCCGAGTTGATCCATCTCTTCGCAACTTTTTCATTCTCGTGTGAGGTTACTACTGCAATATCGTCCGCGTATCTCCAGACTTCAAACCCTTTCGCTTTCAGTCTTTCAGGCGGTGAATTTACTGCTAGGCACCATAACGTAGGTGAGAGTATACCTCCTTGCGGGCAGCCTCTGTTCGCCAGTCCTTCGGCTGTAATCTCCCCGTGTTCGGTCGTTATTATTCTATCTGAAAGCATTCTATTTATCCATTTGACTACAGTCGCGTCAATGTTGTGGTCCAACAGGCCTTTAACTCTTTCGCTACGGCCGTACGGTCCGCCGAACCGCCACTCCTGAACGGGACCCCCCGCCGAAAGTGTGCACATTGCGCGTGGATAGTGTATCTTGGAAGAAAAGGGACTTTCCTTTAAAACAATATACTCATAATATCTACATAAGATATAAACTTATGTAATGGGTAAAA